TGTGCTGCTATCTTAACTCTTTTTAAACTTCAGCGCCTCTCCAGGTTAGCATGGGTGACAACCTGTTCTGCAAAGACGGCTGTGTCCCCTGCTCACGTGGCCCCAGGCTCAGCAGAGCCCCCCGTGTAAGGGGCACTGTGCTTCTCCTGTACAGCCGTGCCCCTTGGCAGCACATACCCAGCAGACCTGTCCTGCTGGAGGGGTGCTTGGGCAAAGCAGAGGTGCTTACATACTCTAGTGGGGAGTTTTCAAACTGACTCACGGAGGGAACACTCACATGCCTTCATTCTGAAGTGTCCGTATCTCCTGTTGGGCTTCGCCAGCACTGGGTGTCACCAAAGAATCGCCTCTATACCATGATGCAAGGTGAAAAAGGGCCAGGACTCTTCTTACAAAGGTGGAGAAGGGATAAAACATCACAAACCACCATACCGATATTAACTCATGAAGAAGTACAGGGCTGGGGACGTAGCTCAGCAGCAGAGCGCTTGTCTAGCATACGTTAAGCCCTGGGCTCCATCTCCAGCAAAAATTTAAAAAGTACAAAACCATTCCCCGGAGCAAGAACAGGTGTGCTCTACATGTTCCTCTGTGGAGGGTCTCAGGGAGGGTTTCAGGGGAGACCCTGAACCTTGCTGCTGATTCGGATCCCATAAATAGAATCCCATAGCTTTCAGCCTGCATTTATATAGCTATCTTTCTTCTTATGCTTTTCTCAACCTTGATATTTTTTTCSAGCCAAATTGCTCTACAGAATAAAAATTCTGTATAAAATTCAATGAAAATTGTTGAGGGCCACAGCCGAGTTGGGATACCGCATGGCATTTTTGCCAGAAGTAGTGGTTGAGAGGTGAGGCCAGCGAGCCGTTAAGATGATGACTTTTGAGTTCTCGAGGAGTTCCCCTTGAGTTCCGGCTGAGCCCTCCCGGGGATTCCTGAAGAGTTCGCGTTGGCTGGTGAAGTTCCGGTGGTGGGATTTCCGGTTGGTGGTTCCTGGAGGAGCCGCGTAGGTGGCGTTCGGGAGAGTTCCCGGGGAGTGTGTGTGGAGTGTGCTGGTGGAGTTCAGAAAAAAAGTTTTTTCCTGCTTCAGTGGCTCGTGATTTATTCCCAGCCAGACTGCGGCAGAAAATAAATAAATTGAGATTTTTATGCAATTCATTAAATCCAAATGCAGTGAAATTTCAGGAACTTCTTTGGTGGGGAAGAGAGAAAACTTACATCAGTGTAGATTAAAGTGAAACAATCTACGAATGAGATAAAGACAGTTCATTGTTCACGTCCGAAAGACCCGGTACAAGTGCTCCAGGGAAGGACCAGAGGCCACAGGGAGCGTTCCGGAAGCTCCTCTTTATAACCGAGACTGAAGAACTGCTGGCGACTTTGGGGTTGTACCCAGCTCTGTGCACGTACCGCCCGGGCCTGGTTCTAGGTCAGCCCAAGGCCCCAGGGCCTGCCAGTGCTGGCTGTGCAGGAAGGCTCTGCTTCACGTACCCCATGGGGTCGCGCATCAGGCGCCGCAGCCCACTGCTCTGTGCCCACGTGTGCAGAAGGCCCTCGCAAGTCCAGTTTTTCCTAGATCCACCGCAGGCCTCTCAGCTTCTAGCAGGGACTCTGCATCAGCTGTTTGAGCCCTGGAGCCAAATCTGCCACTCCCAGGCAAGAGGGCAGATCTCCAGCTCTGGGTCTGCTCCTTCTCCAATGTCACTGCAGGGGTCCCCGCCAGTGCACAGGACCCCTTGGAGGAGTGGGCACAGCCTTTGTTCTCTCCTTGTGTCTAGAGGAAGGAATCACCTCCTGGTGATTTCTGGTTTTGTCCAGGAAACCAGAGCTGATCAAAGTGACAGAGCCACAGGTTGCTTTGCCGGCAGCATCATGTCCTTAGGGCTCYGATCACAGAAAGCTGCAGATGCAGGCGAGGAAGCAGGAAGGAGTGGTGCGTCCCTCAGGCTGACTCCAGAGGGTCAGGCAGCAGAGGGGAGGAATTAGCAAATGAACAATTTTCAAGAACTCCAGTTTCCATACGTGAGGAGGAGGGGGATTGGAGACGTGCAGGGGGAGGCGAGGAAGCAGCACTGCAATCCATTCCACGTTCGTTCCCCCAAAGTCAAGGCATGATTCACAGCCAGGCTGCATTCGCCACCTCCAACCGAGGGTCAAATTCAGGGTCACATTTTTAACTAGTGACCCCCAAAGGAAGGACACGTCTGTCTTGAGACTGAACAGGAGTCCTATCACCTCCCCGACTGCCTGGGATCAGGCCTTCCTGAGGGCCAGACACAGCAAGGTGCCCAAGCCTCACAGGCTGGTGACGACAGGGCAGAGCACAGGCTCTGGAGGTGCATGGGGCCCTGCCAGGGACTCAGAACACCAGGAGGAACAGGAGGGATCACAGGGACAGTCCACCCAACTTCATCTCCCAGGGTGGAGGGGTCACTGGACACAGCGGAGTCTGGATGACTGTGCCACCTGTGGGGTGACGGAAGCTCACGCCRTGGGCTGTGCTGTCTGCAGTCTTGCTCCGTCACACTGTTGGCCAAGGCAGAGAACCCAGCTCCTCATGGGACAGCCTTCCACACTGCTGGGGGAACAGGGACAGGGCCCCACTCCTCTCGGGGAATTTGTAAAAGGGTCAGAAACACGGGTCTGAAGAGCCGTGCGCAGAAGAATGTGACGAGCAGGTGCACGTGCTCCCACGACCAGCAGGGAAGGCGGAAGTCTCTCCACCGACGTGCCTCTCCTCACCGGGAGGGTGCAGACCAGAGCTGCTCCTTCACGGCATGGGGTCCACACACCTCCAGGAGGCTGMCAGCCTGCCCTGGCCACTACACGTGGATTTCAGAAATCCACAGAGAGACGGAAACTCCAGGAGCAAGGGTTAGACGCAAGCTGGGGTGTACTGTGACCTCTGCCAGGGTCTTGCCTGCAGCAGCCCTGCACAAGTAGGGACACTGTCCTGTAGGAGACTATCCTCTAAGCCGCTGCCTGCTTTCCAAACTGTGCTGCTCCTTGTCAGGCACCAGGAACAGCAGGCAGAATTCCTGAAGGAAGGTGAATGCAGAGAGCYGGGGAGCCGCAGGCCACACAGACGTGGGTGACCTCACCAGCCGTGGTGGGTGGGGAGCCCTTAGTCCAGGAGCAGGAGCCTTGGATCCCACCTGGGGTTGATGACYGACTGTGAGGGAAAGACTCAAGGCTCCTCAGCCTGCGAGCCAACACGGAGCCCTGTGTGCGCCTGCACGCTTCCCCAGGACCAGGGCTCGGCTCTGGCCCGGCACGTTCCACACTGGGGACCTGCATCCCACCTTCACCCCCACCCTGCTGGCATCTGGGCAGCCGCAGCCTCGGGACAGCACTGCTTCCGGGGATCTCCCCTCCCTCTTGGTCAGCCTGGGCAGTTCTCTCCCAGGGTGGCCCCCTGGCCAGGCGGAGGACATTCTTGTCCTTAGGGTCAATTCTGGAGACCCAGCTGTGACCGATGATCCTGCCACAGCTGGCTCTCACCAAGCTCACTGGACTGGACCACAGTTTTTCTCACAGACAGGGACCRGATAGGGGTACTCAGGCTGGGCCCAGGCCTTGGGCTGCTGAGGGGCAGCTGGGCCACGGGCCACAGAGGCTTCTCACTTCCCAGCCACTGTCTCCCCTGGATTCCAAGCCCTCCCATGTCAGGCTGCAGGCCCTGCCTGAGGAAGGCCGGGTCTGGAGGCTCACAGTGGGCCAGCAGTACCACTGTCCCCGGGGCCTGGAGACAGGGTGACCACCGGCCTGTGTCAGTGGGGGCTTGAGAAGTGGAAGTTTAAATGTCCGGGATCACGTGGGAGAGCTGGTGTCAAGGCCCGTGGGAATCCTTGCAAGGTTTTTGGAAAACACACCAGTAAGAAGGAGAGGGGCCAAGGCTGGATGAGAGGCCGAGCGCTAACATGTTCTCAGCAGAATCCACGGCGAGGGCAGGGGCTCCCATGATGTCCTCGTGTTCTAAGTGCATGGATACCGACTAAAAGTCACTCTAACTCCGTTTCCCCAAGTCACTGCGTATCAACTCTCTCACAGATTGTGAAAATACTCCTGAAGGTACCCCTCATTTTAGCTTTACTCATTTTAAATTTGTGGTACTAGGCACTGAATCCAGGAGCACTTTATCACTGAGCAACATCCCCAGCCCTTTTTACTTTTTAAAATCTTTAGACAGGGTCTCATTAAGCTGATGAGGCTGGCCTCCAACTTGTGGTCCTCCTGCCTCAGGCTCCCACATTGCTGCAGCACCACAGCACCCAGCTAACTTTGTTTTTAATAACTGAAGGATTACCGCTAATACAGGAGTTCCCTGAAATTAAAGCTGATATGGAAAGGAAATCGCATCTGAGCTCCCTTTGGGGTTAATTCATGCAGAGAGGAAAATCTAATTATTTTCTCCCAAATGAAATATTTCCTGGCTTACCTTTTGTCTTCCTTTCTTAATCATGTGTTATCTATGAGGTTAGAGTCCAAGGAACAGTCCCTAATTTGTTCCTTCCATTTATGTGTATCATAAAACCACCTGGAAAGTTCCCTGTGCTCCCGCTGCCAGTGACTCACCTCGGACCCTACCCTGGATGCCTTAGGGCCTGACCCGAGCCTTCCAGGCCGCAAGGGCAAACACCTCCATCAACCACCCAAAGAAGAAAAGAAACAGATCAGCGCAGTGAATGCAGAAGTGTGCGTGGGATTCAGCAGACGTTGCGGTTCCTGCTTCAGGAGACCCCAGGGTGGGAGTGGCCGCTCTGCCTGTAGCTCACGGAGTCCCCAAAAGTAAGAGGAGCAGAACCMGGGGAGGGTTCAGAGACAGCTTACGGCAGGTTGACTGTGACCAGACCCCGGGTCCTCAGAGCTCGACCGCACAGCAAGTGTCTCCCTTGCTGAAGTCCCCTCTGTCTTCAGGGACCTGGGCAAGGCCAGGCACACACTGGGAGAGTGGGCTGGAGTGCCGGAGCAGGTCCCTGGGGGTGTCATGGGGCGCTTACCCAGCCGGTTGCAGGGGTTCCGCTTGAAGAGGGCTCTCAGCAAGCTCTGGGCCTCCGAGCTGAGGAACTGAGGCATTCCCAGCTTGGCTCTGAAAAACAGAATTGTGTTCAGATGAGAAGGGGAGACGCCAAGGGCTGTGAGTGTTCTCCATGTTGAGATCTTGCTCATTTGGCACTAACAGACTCCAAAGTTGCCAGTCGCTATGCCCAAACTGTGACCTGAGCAGACACTTGTACACTTTAAAAGTCTTTAGGGACACCATAGAGATACTATCAATGTGCCTCATAGCTTTGATATTYGCCAAATTAGAAATTAAAAGTACAAATTTTTGTAATTGTATTTAGTAATTCATTTAAAATATAATAAAAGCATTAGAACAGCAGCAAGGATCCCATTAACACCAACAGCACTTTGAATGGAAATAAACGTTTTCCAAAACYGAGACCCCAGAAAGCCGCAGCAAGAAGGGTGGCACCCCACTTTGGGAGTCCCTTCGGGTCCKCGGATGCCTGCACTCTCACCGCCCCCGAGTCTGGCTGCTGTGGTACTGTGAAGAGCATCTGGGGAAGGAGCWCCCTGTGAGCCCCAGGAGGGCCTGAGGGACCCAGTTCCTTGGACCCCACTGAGGACCAGGGCACAGAGCTCAGTGCTGACCCTGACTCTGCCACTCCCCAGTGACAGGCATGAGTGTGCACCTGGGCTTGCTGGAGGGGTCACCCCAGCACCCTGCAGCTCCCCACAYAGGGCCGGGCACACAGAAGGCCCCTCAGCTGCAGTCGCGGGACGACTCCAYAGGGAGGGCGCTGCTGAGAACCAAGGGCAGCACCTCCCTGCGCTTCTCCATCCATCTCCCATCCACGTCTGAGGAACTAGCCGCAGGTCAGGTGCCTTTGGATTTCACAGAAGTCTCATGCCCACTGGCARCAGGATTCTGGTGGTGATCCCAAGGTTAGCTTTGTGACTTCTCTCTTCAAATGGTCCTAATTCTACCCCCTAGCATGGCTGGGAGGRACTTCCTGGGACCCTGTCACCCACCCTTCCCTGACCCTGTGCTCAGCTCACACTGGGGATGTCATGACCTGGTGGCCCTGGGCTCAGACTCCCRTGGTTCTGAGAGCAGGTCTATTTGTGTGGTGAGTCCTTCTGAAAATGGGGTGGAACTGCCCAGTCAGGCAAAGGCAGGCATGTGACCAGATGGTGCCCACTCCTGTCAGAAGGCAGGGCGTGGACGACCATGTGAATGGGGTCCAGCAGAGGAAGGTAGAGCAGAGGAGTCTGAACCTGTGCTAAGAACGTCCTGAATCCCCAGACCCCCGGAATCTGTGTGCCACCTCTGGCTGGTCACCAGGCCCATCTRGAACCCAGCCACTGGGCTATCCAGGTGATGGGAAGCGCCGTGGAAGGAGCGYTGGAGTCACTCCATGGTCCTGCCTCACCCACCAGTGATCCTGCTCACGGCCAGCGCTCATGTGCCCGTCCCATGGCCACGGCCTATTCCTCAGACCTGGGGGTGGGAACTAGGCTCTGCTACTAGATGGCACAGACACSCGCTGGTGTAATCACCCACTCACTTAAGGATGAGGGCCATCGTCTCCTTCCGGTCCTTCCCCTGGAACGGCAGTGACCCCGTGAGCATCTCGAACTGCAAAGCAACACAAAGAAGTGTGCGTTCATTAATTTGTCCCAAATCCTAATAAACGGGGCACAGTGAGGCCCACACGCTGGTGCACCAGGGAGACCAGCCTCTGGGATCTGACGACCCAGTGGGGAGATGCACGAACGAGGGACGCGGTGAGCAGTTACAGCACACCCTCCCATGGCGGGTACCGAGGAGGGCCGGCCAGGACTGGGAGGAGGGACAGAATTCTGTGGGCTCGGGGACAGTGGCTTGGAATCTCTGGTCTATCAGACGTGTATCTCTGACCACTCCTGGAACAAGGAGCTCGGGCAGTGGAAGCCCTTTTCCTACCACACACCTGGGACCCAGGGGATGGTGACCACACCCATCTTAGACTCTGAGAAGTGGCTTCAGTGCAGGGCTTGTGAGGTCTTATCCAATCGGCCTCGTCTAATTTATTTTTACTTTGGATGTCTCTGCTCCTCTGTAATTTTTCCTGCAGCATTTTTTCTTTATTAAGAAAATCYTGGGAAATACACAAAAGTAAAAAGACCCAAACTGCATTGTCCAAAGAGAGCCACCATTACCATCGGTCACCTCCATCCAGAACTTTCTCAAGCTGTTTTTTTAAAATTTTTAATTTTTAATAAAGTTTTGTATACTGAACTTTTCATGAATAATACAACACTCTCTGTGTCCATCATAAAATCTGACATTACGTCCATGGCCACGCCACTGCTCCACTGTGCACCTACTGTGGGTCGGGGGGTTCCCCATTTCCTGCCAACATAAGACTGAAGCTACCTAAAAGTGCGCCTAACACGTCCAGGTGTCTGTAGAGTGAAATTACAGAAACGGACGAGTCAAGGCTTTCTTACTGCTACAGGTCTCTTTCTGAAAACAAACTTAAATTTCTGCCAGTTCAGGAGTCCGAAGCCCACTCTGTCAGGTCAAACTTGCTGTCGATTCTGTGTGCTATTGGCAAYAAATAATAAAAAGAGCAAGAGAGTCCAGATGAGAATTTAAAAGAGACAAATGTGATTAAATTGGAAGTCTAGAATGCTCTGGTAGCAGATGAGCTGCCCCCYGGGTACCACAGGGTGCGCCTCTATGAGCCAGTTATACAAATGACCAGCTCCCTTAAAACAGGACCTGTCAGCAASGGAACTCTTCCTGWCTGGTTCTCCCTTCCGCCCTCTGCACCTCCCGGAGTCTCCTGCAGCCTTCATGAAATCCCCGTCCGCGGGGGAGCTGCTGTGTGGATGGGCGCCCGCCCAGCCTCGCCTTGGRTCCTAGCTGCAGTCTGCCCGGCCGAGGCCGCGCAGCACTGTGCTCATCCCCATGGACGGAGCTCTGGTTCTTGTTGGACCTTGACGGCGACTCTCTGTCTCTCTCCGTCTGGTCCTCACTCCATGCGGCTCTTTCTTTYGCAACAAGGACCAGGTGGGAGGCCCCGTCCATCATTAGCCCACCTGACTCATGTGTGGGTACTCAGTCAGTGCTTCTCCAGGATGAAGGCGAAGAGGGACGTGACAGGACAACGCAACTGTCTGTTGCTGTGGCCTACTCACGTCTCGGTGCTTTGGCTTTGTTCCTGGTCCCCAAGAGCCCCCACAGAAAGGGTATCACTACTGAAATGCCTGTTCTGGATCGACCCATGACCTGCACACTACATGTGGTGAGGCCTTTGCTCCTGTGCTGGGACACCACGGCTTCCAGAGCACACTGAGAGAGCCATGGCTGCCCTTGTATCCCCCACTGGAGCACACCTGCTCGAGGACACTCTACCTGAGTCATTCACAAATGGGCACCAAGGTCAGGCCGTGGATGMCCACAGAGGCACTTGGATGAGAAACGGGTCTCGCTGCACTTGAGCAGCCACAACATCCTAAAGCAGTGATTTCCTGCTCCTCCAAGACATTTCCCGAAGCCTGGGGATGTTTCTGATGGTCATTGTGGGCCTCCTGCTGCTCGTGTCCGGGCCAGGGAGGCTGGGAAACACCCCACAATGCCCAGGATGCCCTGCAACCTCTGGGGCAAAGTCCTGCCTGGAGGGACTTTCCATAAACCCAAGACAGGCCAGCCCATAGCTCGGCAGGACCCCACCCAGATGGCAGTGGGGCAGCTGAATAAGAAGACTCTCTGGGAGGGAGGCGTGTGGTCACGGGGAGCCTAGAATCCTAGTTCATCTGGTGGGTCGCCATTCTTTTAAGAAATCAAAAGCATGTTAATAGTTTAGTCTGCGCATGGACAAGGTGACCCGTGTTGTGCTTGGGGGTTGGAGGTGGGACAGCTCTGGCTCTGTGGCTCGGGGTCAGGTCTCTGGATGGGCTTGTGTACAGATGGCCTGAGCATAGGAGACAAGTTCACTGACCCTTGCTCCCACAGCTGTGCCCCACAAGAGGCAGGGTACATCCCAAGTGCCGATCCTCAGGTGCTYCCAAAGAGCTCAGAGGAAAAAATTGAGCAAATGTGACACTCATGTCCTTGAGCAAAACCGACTGCGGGTAGGAGCTCGAAGTGGAGAACAAGGTGAGGAGCAGTGGTTGCGGCCACTGCGATGGGCAGTCCCCGGCACGGTCTGCTCTGTTGGCATCAGGTTCTAGAAGGGAATCTGGGCTGCATTTGCACGTGGCCAGCACCTCTGAGCCAGCCTGCGCTGCTTTCCCGAGGCTGCCCTTTCTTGACCTTGGCACCTCAGGGGCTCTGTAAGCTGCCTTACGTCACTGCGGTCAACGCCAGTGGTTCAGAGTTCAGTTGCAGCCCCAGGCTCTGTCTCTCACCAGCTGGGCTGGGCACCAGACTGCAAGGTTCTGAAAACAATGCTCACCTGCCAGGGCCTTTCCAGGGTGAKGCCAGCTCAAGCCTCCCCAGCCCTAACAGCAGGTGCCTCCCTCGGGAGCTGCTCAGGGGCCTCACCCACCTCAGCAAGGCCAGCGGAGACACTGTAAAGACAAACCAGTGCCACCATGACCTTCAGGAGGCTCAGGCGAGACGTCACTAACATCACTTAGAGCCACCCTGTCACAGCAATGAGAATTTGGAAGCACTTGATGCTCCTGCCCAAGGAAGTGCCAAGAGCCCAAGGCCACCATGGTCAAGCCTTCCATGGTCATCAGCTGGGGCCAGGGCGCAGGAGGGCAGCACCCCAAGAGCGTGACCTGGAAGCCTTGTGGCACTCTTTGAGCCTTGGTTCTTAAGTCTGTGCAGAGAAGGAACGAACGGTCTTTCCCACCTTGCTCAGATGTGGGGACGCCTTGTGACCTGGGGGCCGGGCAGACTTCCTGCTGCCGCCCATGACTCTCATGTCCGCTTTCTGCTCACCAGTGAACACTTTTGGTTCTTGAGTCACTGCYCTTCCCTGTAGGCCGGGGACATGGAACGTGCAGTCCTCTGACTAAGCAATCTAGCGAGGAGAGTCTTGGTGGCTAGAGCTGGCCACGTGGCGAGGGTGCCTCTGGGAACAGGGGCTGACCCCCACTTCAGGTTCTCAAACTCTGGGGTACCAGGGGGCCCAGGCAGGAGAGGGTTGCACGACACATGGTCTGGGCACCTGTCTTCATGCTGCCCCTCGGGGAGCAGACCTGGGGCCCCGGGCAGCTCTGTGCAGGGGAGTCAGGGGAGGGACGTGGGGCTCTGACACTCGAGTGCTGGGGTACACAGGTGTCCGCTGTGGCAGGTGGGAGTGTGCAGCAGTGACACCGGGAGAGCGAGGAGACCAAGAGGAAGGAGGGCGGGGAAGGGCTCCAGAGGTGGTGCTCTGGCCCAGGGCCCTGCAGGGACATGCACGGAGGATCCTCTGCTGGGAGCAGCTCCAGTTACCCTGGCTCTCCCTCCTTCCCATACAAACTCTGGCTGTCCTCCTCTCAGTGTGTCCACTCACCTCCTTGATTGCAATGACTTAGATCAGAAAAGAATTTAAGTCTGCTTTATATTATGGGATGGGCCTTGTCATCCTTTCTACAGAAGCAGATTAGAGGAATGTCAGCCCCTCCGACCCCTCCAGCCCGTCTCCGACCCCTCCAGCCCGTCGTGCCTGGGCATGGTCGGGGTGAGGTTCCCTCTGCCGACCTTCCCTCTCCAGGCTCTGGCCGGCCTCTTGTTCTCTTAACTCGCAGTGACCCCGAGGGATGAGGGACACCATCTCACAACATCCGTCCATTAGACAAAGCTTCATCGGCAGCACCAGATTTGATCATCTGTCCACCTCTTTGAGGCCTAGAGGTCACTCAGGGGAAGTCAAAAAGTGACACATAGGGGCAGGATCCCTGGACTTGCAGGGCGGCTGGCCATGTCTCCAGAGGAGCCTGGTTTCTCTGGAGGGTGGACCTGCAGATTAGTGTTGGTGAAGGTTGATACCAGACTTCAAGCCAAGTCTGCAGCMGGGGTGACCTCAGGGAGGCACCCCTCCCCTAAGCCCACCAAACACCTGCCACCCAGGGCTTCAAAGAAAACCAAGATRTTTGGATGGGAGCAGAGCTATCTATGCAAAAATCACCTCTAAGAGAGCAAAGCTAACAATCCCATTAACTTATCTAAAGAAAGATGCTTGGATCGGAAAGGAACACAGGGGAGCCTGRGAGACAAATGCGAACCCTGGCTGGTGGCCTTCTGGAAAGGATGAATGGCACCTTAGCTGCTGCTATTACAGGTGTGAATTATCATGAATAASAAGACGTGGTCAGCACCCTCCTGACATCCACGGACCCTTTATGATGTCCCGTGCTTGGCATGTATGAACCTGTTTCACAGAACATTTAGCTAAATGTCGTGCCTCTGCTTGACCAGGCAGCTTCTCACTAARCTTGGACTGTCCTGTAGTTCACTGCTGGGGAGACAAGTGCTGGTCCTGCAGGCAGGAGCCACGACCTGACATGGACATCTCTTACTGTGAGTTGAGCCACCTCCAAGCTGGTTGAGGGCCATCGCCCCACAGTGAAAGGTCAGCAGGGGTCAAGAACAGGACAGAGAGTTGGACACCAGCCTGAGGTTCACCCAGGGGGCAGGTCTGAACTGAGGCTGTAGGATGCAGCCCAGGGGTCCTGCAGGGGCAGGAAGACAGATGGCGGTGTCTGTGAAGGGATCCAGGTTTGGACGTGCACAGCACAAAYGTGTTGCCACATTTACTTAAGGTCTCACAGCCTCTTTGCTCCTTTGCTAAATGCACAGATGGGAGCCGTGTCRGGACCACCCGTGTCGGATTCCAGTGTCAGAGCCTGGCCAACACCGAGGGCAAGTAGAGGTCTTGAGGGCCCYGCCTGGGTGGGGCGAGGAGGGGGAGAAGGAGCACCTGGGATCAGGAAAGTGGCATCACTGCATCCCTTAAACTTCTTGCAGTCTGTAGGAGTGTTAAGTATAAAGTGCCCTCTCATCAGTCTGCATTCCTATTGGAGTCCCAGTTCCATTTTCTGGTGGTGGGAATTTGGGACTGACAGGTGGAGGAACCAGGAAATGCTCTGAAGCTCCCTCCTCCCTCCTGCTGAGACCACACAGGGCTTCGTGTGTGTGTGTGTGTGTGTGTGTGTCTGTGTGTCTGTGTGTGTGTGTGTGGGGGCCCTTCCTGCCCCTCATTCCAGGCTCGCTGAGCTGCCCTGGGGGGAGGTTCATTTGGAACAGCTCCCTTTGTGCAGAGGCCCACCAAGGAGGTCAAGCCTTACCATGAGCACACCGAAGGACCACCAGTCGGCACTCTGCGTGTGTCCCCGCCGATTCACCACCTCGGGTGCCATGTATTCTATCGTCCCACAGAATGAATARGCTCTCTTGTCATGGTCAATGGCCTCCTTGCTCAGACCGAAATCTAGACAGAAGCACAGCACAAAGCACTTCCTCAGTCTCTGATCCGCGTTCAGGACAGTGTCTAACCCCATTGCTACTGTCAACACTGATGTCTGGGTGTCACAAGTGGYTGCCTTCGCCCCTCCCCTTCCCCTCATTTAGGGGCCAGAGCTCGGCTTGGAAAGCATGACCCAGCTCAGGTGTGCTTGCCGGGWCTGGCAGGCTCCTGAGGTCAAATCTACGACGGGAGGGGATTTCTCTGTGAATCTACAAATTCCAGATTGCCTCGTAACAATTTCAGGAGTTTATTTCTTGCATTAGACATCAATTTCTCAGGAGACCCTTTTCCATAAATGAGCACCATGGAGGACCTCGAGCTCTGGCTGCAGGTCAGGGGACCTGGGGCTGACAGACATGTGCTGCACCATGGAGGACCTCGCGCTCTGGGCCAGGGGACACAGTGCAGCCTGCTGAGGCACCGTGGGGTGCAGGACTGGCACACTGCATAGAGGCTTGTTGGCCTGGTCAGCGCTAGCTCGAACTCTCCACCTAAACTGCCACGAGCTGAGGCAGGCCCTGAAGGCAGCTCAGGCAGGGGACGGGGAGGGGACAAGACAGCCTGGGAGTTTCAACCTTCCCGACCCTGTGAGGGCCACAACAGCCCAAGTCCATGAAAAATGCAGTAGGATCAGAGACAAGCGTTTGGCAAATTAACATGTGAGGAGGTGAGGGCCGAGACTTGGAGGAGGTCCCCGATTTGCCAGGGCTGAGATGAAGCCACCAAGGGAAATGGTCTCTTACAAACCTGTGATCTTGATGTGTCCCTCTTCATCCAGGAGGATGCTGAAAGAAAAGGAGAGAAAGCCGAGGCCTTAGCAAGACCCATCTCAGTGGCCTGCAGAGCCCAGCCCAGGGTGGCTCCGTGTCACAAGCCATCCACGGGTGGCGTGTGGGTCACCGCACATCAAAGCCTGGTGGATAGAAACACCTGGTGTCTGGGAATGACCAGTGGACATTTTCTCTGGCCAATTGTCCAGGGACATTGTGAATTTCTATCCTGCTCCACCATGTACCACACAGCACCTGAGATGGGTGTGACCTGCTAAGATGCCAATCATCCTGCCGACTTCAAGACATCACRCAAGGCTCTGCCCTTGAAACCTTACCCCTGCCTTTGATGTACCCCTTAAATAAACCTCCGGAGCCACCTTTCCTTTGTCCAGTTCCAGCTCTTGTGTGGACTGGATCATATCCAGTGTTCCGCTTTTGTAAATATATTTCYGACTCTTTGTATTGTGTTCTTCACTAATTATCTTGACTGTAAGTTTTCAGGTGGCTTACACCCTCCTTGGCAGGAAGAAGAACCCCCCAGTGAGACGCTGGCTGTCACCCCCGTTAGCTTGGGCATCTGCAACCAGCACCAGCCAGAGGGCAGCACCTGCTGATGAGGCAGGTCCTCGGATGGCCRCCTCCCTGCCCATTCCTGCCCACGCCTGCCAGCTCAGGAGAGCAGTTGGAGCCCATGTRTGAGCCTGGGGTCTGCAGGGTTTAGATCTTGTTGAGACCCAGGAGTGGCTGGAACTTTCTACCTGTTCTGCAGGTGGAAGAGAAGGTTCCAGGAATACCTGGGYTCACAGGGACCTGGTTCCAGCTCTTGGGACCCAGCCTCTAATGGGTCTTGTGCACAAGTGTGGGCCTCAGATCCTGGGGTTCCCCAGCTTTATCTTGTGACAAGAACCGGTGTCAGCTTGGCACCCTGTGAGCCGCTGGCCCATCTCATTCTCATCCAGCCCCGGTCACACCGTGAGTTGAAAGTTGTCTGCTGGTCACAGTGGCCCTGCTCAGGCACAGTGTGCTCCACTGTAGGGAGTGGAGGTGGGATGTGGGTGGGGCCCTGGGCCACCAAGGAGCCCCCCTCCCTGGGACAGCAGCTGGAGTCCAGGGCTGATATCTTGAGACCCGTCACTCCAACCTCCCTCTCTACTTTTTGGACTGTCATTAAATCCTGTTCCTAGAGGTCCTGGGAGGTGGCAGCCCAGCCCTAATGAGACTGGAAGTGAGCTAGAAACAAAAGCCACGCTCGGATGTSACACACAAGTGACATCAACCTGAAAAGGAAGGAAACTGCCCAGGCCACTGCAAGGACGAATCTTGAGGACACTCTGCTGCATGAAGTCTCCAGTCAGGAAGACAAAGCACTGTGCGATTCCACTCTTAGGCAGTCCCTTGAGTCACCAAATTCAGAGACAGAAAGTAGAAYGGCGACTACCAGGGGTGGACAGAGGGCTGTGGGTTAGTGAGTAGTGGGGACAGTTACAGCTCCGTGGGGTGACTGGAGCCCTGGAGATGGGTGCTGGCGATGGCAGCACAAYACAGGAAATGTGCCTGGTGCCACCAAACTTGGCACAAAGCCAGGGTAAGGTGGCAAATCTTATGCTGTCTGTATGTGAACACAGCGGGGAAAATCTGCCATGGAGTCAGAGAACAGCTGCTGTGCGTGGCAATGCGAAGGGAAAGGTGCAGCACGTGAACCAAGATGATCTGCTATGATTAAGGAAGCAAATGTCTTTGTCTTTGCTTTTTGGTTGTACTCCATCTTGGCTCAGAATTMAGCAACTTTCAAGATTCAGTCCCAGTAATTCTAATTGAACAGCAAAGCCTTCTTCACCCGGCAATTAAACATCACTGTTTTCAGCTGTAAGGATCTCTGTGTCCTTCAGAAAAGACCAAGAGCCGCTCTCCCTGCCTGGACAGGTACGCAGGCTTGGTGCTCACAGGGGTCCATTGTGGCTGTCAGCATAGACATTGAGAACTCCAGGCTCAGGAGCCAGAGGGAAATTAAGTGAGGTTAACTTCAGGGGACAGGCCAGGCTCCTGCTGTCACCTCCCGACCAGGGATGTTAGAAGGGGGGCCCAGGGTACAGTGCMCTGTGGGGCACACAGTCAACTTGGCTCTGAGATGGCAGCGTGGCCTCCTGCATCTGCTGCGTGAGGAGACGGGGTGGTCAAGAGCCACTGCTCCTCCTGTGCACTACTCAGGACAGGGCCTTCTATGGTCATCTGCCGATGTTTTTACAGCATGGCCAGTAAGATTGTGCTGACCGGGAGTAAGTCAGAGCCTTGCAGTGTACACCMGGGCAGATGTACTCAACATCACAGAACCCAGACAGCCCCCACAGAGACAGCCCTGTCTAACAAAGCAGACTTCAGAAGAGCTGGGCTCTCTCAGCTCAGGGCAGGTGAGAATGGGAACGAGGAGCAGGGGCTTGTGCCCACCCCTGAGCTGGGGGCCTCAGGGCATGGGCTGGGCTCTCACCAAGTGACACAGGTCTGGGCTATGCTGCTCAGCCTCACAGGTGAGAGGGAGAAAAACATGGGAGACCATGGTTTTCTCAGGCACAACTACTGGTGTGTCCCCTAAAAGGGCCACTTGGAGCTGACAGCTCTGAGTCAGCTCCAAACAGCACACATGAGAAAAGACCWGGGAAGGACGCTAGTGGTTAAATTCAGACTGGATTAGCAAATTATCTATAATAATAATATGACAGATCATTGTCATCACAGAAGACCCCAAATCTTAGCGGGATCTTGGCCTGGTTATTCGGGGCCACTGTCTCTTGGGTGAGCTCTCGGGAAAGCTAAGCTTTCACCTAGAAAAGGGCCCATTTCCAAGAGGAGCCACTGGACCATGGGCCCCTGGGCTCYGGGTAGTAGAGGAAAGGGCTCCCTGAKCRGRGCCCAGTGGAGGGGGAGGGGAGGGCCAGGCCTGTCTGAGGCTCCTAGGGCAGAGGCACCCTGCTGGGRGGCTGGGCAGGAAAGCAGAGTTGTGGGCTTACCTCCACCTGGCCAGCCCCACCTGTGCAGCCTGGGCGTGAACCTGGGCCTCCCTCGGTTCTGGTGAGGATCAGGTGCAAATGGGCCTAGGAACTTCCTACAAAAACCAGCGGGGCCCCACGTGTAGCTGTGCCCCTTTGCAGGGCGGGGAGGTGGCATCTGTTCACCCCTCTTGGGATTCCAGTGTGGGAAGGGCCAGCGTGAGACCATCCCTAGACCGCTGTCTAGAACGCACCCCTGGGGAGAACACCAACTGACAGCCACTCAGACCCGGCTGGGTCTCACTTACTTCTCGGGCTTCAGGTCCCTGTAGATGATCCCCAGGCCGTGCAGGTGGTCCAGGGCCAAGGCCAGCTCAGCCAAGTAGAACTTGACATCCTCCTCTGTGAACATCACCTAGTGAGAAGGAGAAGAGACGTCCTGCCTGCTGCACAGCTGCTGGTTTTGCACCCCACCAGGGAGAGCAGCACCCACCCCAGAAGGCTCCCGTGTGCCAGTCCTGGGCTCCCCCAGCACTCTCTGGCTTTCCAGTGGGAAGGTGAGCTCTGCTCATGGTCTCAAGGCACGGAGGACAGCAGCATCGTGGCAAACCCTTGACGCAGCTCCTTCCTCCCAGCCTGACCTCCTCACCCCACCAATCACCCAGCCCCGCAGAGTTTCTCTGGGTCTATATTTTAATATGAGTGTTKCTCAATAAATAACCAAGCCTTACTGTGAAGGTCAGGTGAGGAGTGGGAAACGGTCTCCACCTCATCTCTCTCCCTTTCACCTTGTGTCTTCCCGCTTGGGCTGATGCAAATGCTGCCCGAGGGGTTAGTGCTACCAAGTGCACACACGTGCTTCTTCTCGCCCAGGAGCCTGAGGGAGAGGGCTCGTACGTGTCAGGGGTGGCAGCCATGCTCCTGGCTCTCTAGTGGCTGGCGCAGCCCAGGCTTGGCACTGACCCAACTGGGATGCCCTAAGTGTTTCCTGAGTGTCTAGAACCTCATTCAGGCCAGCTAAACTGTGTAGGAGGCCTGGGACCACCAATCTACAGAACAGGCTTCTGTAGTCGCATCAGTGGGAAGCCGAACCCTTATCACAAACCATCGTGTAAGTTCCCCACGAGAGATGAGTGCTGCGGAGACTGAGGTCCACATTACTGCTTTCTCCCTGAAACTGTATTGGAAACTTTCTCTCCTTCAGACTGTACTGGAGCCCTGCCCACCTTCCACCAAGGCCTACAGCCCTGAAAGGCAGGTACGCATGCGGCAGGGTTCCTGGTGCACACGGAATCAGAATGAGGGCAGTAGGAGACTAGAGGCAAGGGTGACATASGCCAAGAAGGTCCTCGGCTCCCTAAGGGACACTTCCAGTCAGGGCTGCAGACTTCTGCAGGTGCCTGCCAGGTGCCACCAGCCCTGCTGCTCTGCAGTCATGGAGCCCACCCCCTCCCAGGTGTGACCAGTGCCTTTCCTGGCTGGGTGCTCTTCTCTGCACTRCATGACACAACCACTGGGCTGGCTCATTCAGCCTCTGCCACCGTCACATTCTCCCCCCACTGAACCTGTCTAGCTGAGGACYGGCCACTGTGGCTGGCGTGCACTTTGGTACTCAGGGTGGCTACACAGCTCTGCTGTCCGAGTCTTAGGGCACATCTCGATGACAAGTGACCACCCCATGCCTGTGAGCACCTTAGAGGCAGTTAAGGTGACCTGCAGGTGGCAGGATGCTGTCCAGGGCTCTGGAGGAGGACTCCAAGTATGGGTGTATGCATCCCACACACTTCTTCCTGCTCCCCTGTAGAGCCCATTATGCTCTCACGGTCACATTGTCACACCCCTTTGTTCAGGGTTCTTGGTAATTACGGTTGCCTTTTGTTCTGGGATACAACCACAGAGCATCCCACTAGACACTGGACAAAGCAGACCCCAGGCGGGCTGACTTCCCCTGGATGAGATGGGTGGGACCAAACCTATAGATATGAGAGGAATTGGCGGATGCCCAAGATCCAGCCCCTTGGGAAACCGGCTCGAGGACAGGCAGATGGACAGGCACCCGCACTGATGGGGCTTTTTTCTAGAAGGGGGTCAGAGTCCTCCAGCCCCCTATCTTCCCATAGCACAGGGAGCCCCACATGCACACGGCACTACTCTCCTGGGAGCTGCAGGTCAACAGGCAGAGCAGCCCTCGCGGGGTTTCTGGGGCCCCTCTCTGCTGGAGGAGCCGCCACTTGGTCTACTGCCCATCTGCAGTTCTAAGCGAGGCAGGGAGCTGCTGCTGAAGAACGGGAGGAGGAGGAAAAGGCAGAAGCAAATAAACCCCGCCTCGTGAGGAGGAGGACTCCAGGGTAGACGCTGGTCCCTGCACTGTGCGCCCCTGTGCCGCCACCCTCTGCTCTGTAGGAAGTGGTACCACCTGGACTCGCTCCGGTGAAAAGCCCAGCATCACGGTCCCTGGGCCAACTAGGCAGTGGGACCTCTGCTGGGTTCTTGACCTGCGCCTCTGAAAACAAGGACTGACTACAGGACAGCAGAGCCGAGGCCTGCACCCCGAGAGGCAGGTGGGACAACCCTCACCTCCCAGGGAAGAGGCGGCAAGYGTGCGCCCTGAGCCTCTGACTACCTAGGGTCTTCCTGGGGAGAAGCGGCAGGTCTCAGGTGAGCTGTCGTGAAATCAAGTGCYGTGTCCGTCCTTGGGCATTTGGGTTCAGAATGTTCCTCCTGGCTAAGCCATCTGGCCATGAGTCAGGTGTGGGCACATGGTGTGGGTCTTGGAGCCTGGTGACATCTCAACGCTTTTGTTCYAGCTGATCAGGGACAAGCACACGCTGGCGGTTTTGCTTTCTAACTGAAGGAATGGGAGAGGCAGCTCACGCTGGTAGATCCCGTCTCCCTCCAGTAGGGCTCTCTCCCTGTCGGCAGCTCCCCTCTGTCTCTACCACTGACCTGGRCAGCATTCTGGCTCTCTCCCTCTGTAGAGCTCAGCACCCTCCAGTCATGAGGGCCGTAGKGCCTCCCTGGTGCCCTGAGCACATTCTGGAACACGCCTATCGGAGGTGCTGGAGGTCAAAGTAGACTCTGGGGTTGGGAAAGCTCACGGGACTCAGGCCGCGTGTGCAGACCTGACCAGAGGCTCCTGAGCAGACTGCAGGGAAGGCCTGCCCCAGAGGACGGGACACGCTGAGCTGACTACATCTTCCCAGGATGAAAGCAGGAGCTACCATCTGTCCCAACTGTCACCTTCAACTAGCCGTGGGCTTCCAGCTGCTCCACCTGGACAGTTAACGGTGGACCGAGGCTTCAGAGCTCCATAGGATCTCTGGAGAAACCCTGTTCCCAGGACCTTCCAAGGACAAAGCACTCCTGCAGCTTGGTGGCTCTGGAACAACCAACACCCTCCCACACACACTTAACGCACACCCAACACTCACACAGCACACACACACCAAGCATCATGCACACCCAACACACATACCCCCCACACCAAGCACACCCAGCACCCACCGGAACCCCCTGCCTCCTCTCTTTCCCTCCCAGACAGACGTGTGCAGAGGGGATGCACGGAGGGAAGCCCACCTCTTTGGACAGCCGGGTGAAGAGATCGCCTCCCCGCAGGAARTCCAGGATCAGGTAGAGCTTTCCTTCCGTCTGAAAGGCTGTGGGGGAGACACGGCTGAGAGCTGCAGGGGTGGACTCTGCTCTCTCTGACACAGTCAGTGTCCAGTTCCCAGCTTCTCTTGGCAAACATGTCTACTTAACCTGCAARCTGTCACTCAGAAGCGCAGGGGAGCCCAGGGAAGGGGGCAGGACACCACATTCTGGTCCCAGTTTTGTAGGTCTTGAGACGCTTCTTTCCCTCCCTCCTTTCCTTCGCCTCCTCAATCATGAAGGGAAGTGTGGGTTCAGAGGGAGAGGCACCTACACATCCAGCCTGCCCTCCCACCGCCACTAGCGACAGGCCTGGCTTGCAGTGGGTCTTCAGACGGGAACTCTGTGGGCTGGCTGGGCAGGCGAGCAGGGCTCCGACACCACAGCCGCACTCCCGCAGCTCAGTGCAGCGGACCAGCCTCCGACTTCTTTTATGGCAGTGCTGGTGACTGGTCACCCTATTTGTGTTGTGACTAGGGCTTCTGTCCTCAGTTTGGTTACTATGCCTGACAATTTTAGATCTGTTTCAGGCCACAGAGTGTCCACATAGCTCCTGTCCATGCTCAGTGGTCAGCAGGAAGGAGTGGACACTGGAGGGTCTGGAAGAACCAGCCACCATTACTACTGCTGTGACTGCAGGCCCAGGTTCGGGAGGGTCGGTTCACTGTGAAGGCCAGGCCAGGTTAGGGAGGGGCCATCCACGGACACTAGTCCAGGTTAGTGAGAGGCTGCGACAGCCAGGTGGGAGTTAGTGAGAGGCTACTGGCTGCGACAGCCAGTCCAGTCTAGGGAGGGCTGTCATTGGCATCTGTTTATACACACTGCAAGTACAGCCGGAAGGGGTCCTGAGATCTYTGCGTCCGAAAGCCTTTGATTTTCTAGAAGTCAATGCCAGAAGCATCATCATGGAGGGCTTTCGAGTCACAGGCTCTAGCTGGAGGACACTTTGTTGGAACTGTGAAAGCTGAAGTGTGGATTTTAGTTTCATCTGAGGAAGTGGCTGGTCTTGTGATGGGCAACAGGGGGTGTAATGCAGAGGGCCTGCTGAGAAGCTTCTGCAAGATGCCCATTTCTAAATCTCTCCAGAAGTCTCCCTGGGGGCCGTCTCAAGTGGCAGGTGGATGGGACCTGACCCTAGTCCATCAGCAGCAGTGGGGGTGGGAGGGAGAAGGCCAKCCTGTCCCGCCTTGTCCACCGCACAGGGGACATCAGAGCTGGAGCTGCCCACAGTCCAGAGGGGGCAGGGGTCCCCTGGCCTCTCTGGGTCCACAGTGCATGCTGGGTTTCACTGTTTCTGAATGGACGGGCCACGTGACTTGCACACAGGACTGGACGGCCTTCGGAGTATTACCAGGAATCAGCCTGGGAAGAGCTGGGAGTTGCCTCACCCTGTCCTGATGGTCACACCTTTGCTTCCGATGTGCACGGGCCTCACTTGTTCCCTCACACGCCTGCCCTGGAGCCCTGAAGCCAGCAGCAAGGGACCAGCTTGGCTGCTCTTTGCTGCACTCTGTTCACGTAATCATCAGAGGGGTGTGGTGCGGCGTGACTTCAAGTCACCATGACTTCAGATCATTTTGATCTGAAGTTTTTACTCACGGCTCCTCTGAGGAGACGCAGGGCAGAGAGCACGTGGAGAGGCGCTGTGTGCAAAGTGGGCAGGCATGGCCTCCAGCAGATTACTTGACCTGAGCCTCGGAAGACGCAGTGATCGCCTGCCTGCCTGRGGGGTGCTTCTGAGGGCGCAGGGGCCCCTCCTGTCTCTAGGAGGCTTGAAACACAGCATCTGCTTCAAAGGTGGTTGAACACTTGTRGCTTAAACAAACCACTGGTTCACAAACTACGACACAAACGTGCTGTGGTTCATCCCAGGGTAGGTCAGACCTTGGMGCCGACTGTCAAYGGTGACAGTTTAATAATAATGGACMGCCCTGGAATGAAAACAGGGCATCTATCTCTTAGGGGGAAAAAAAACTCAAAGATCAAGGGTTGGGACTTGGATGGCTGCATCCGTGACAGTGAAGTGTCTACGACACCGGGAAGACTTTCCTCTGTCTGATCTGCTTTGTTCCTTCGGCTGCCCCTGACCTCTCAGGTGTGTCCGCTGATGCCCCACTTACCGTAGTGCAGCTTCACGATGAAGGGGTGGTTCACCTCTGCCAGGATGTCTCTCTCCATCTTCGACCTCACCCGGTCCCGGACTGCAGAACAGAGGCAAAGGGCTTTCAAGAGGTGGACTTAGAGTTCAGAGGAACACGGAGCGCCAAATACCAGATAAAGTCGTTGTTCCCGTTTTCAAACATACACAAGACTCAAAGCGATATGATGACCGCCCCTATGTCCTCCAGCTTGATTTAACAATTATTGACATGCTCTTAAATTTGCCCCCTCTCTCTCGACAAAATCACTGAAAATGAATTGTAAGCACCCAGACATTGGACCCTTAGGTGCACTTGCACATATCTCCCTAATCTAGAGTAACATCCAGAGAACCACCAGCTGCTTCYTGACACCACGGGACACCCAGTCCAGGCGTAACACCCCCATGCCATTCAGAGCCCTTGTTGTTTCCAACTCAGGATCCAGTCAAGGTCACATGCTCGCTGACTGCTCAACTGCTTTATTTATTTTGCTTCTAGAAAAGTTCTACACCTTTTTTCCCCTGGACTTTTTGGGAGGTCCAAGGTAGTTTYCTTGCAGAATGGTCCACGCTGCGGACTGGTCTGATTGTGGTTCAGTGGGTTCTTTGACCCCTGCACTTCCTGTGAACTGAGGTCAGGCTTGGGGCTTTGGAGGAAGGAGCCTGGACGATGTGGTGGGTAGGTGATGCTCTGCCTGGATGGCCTGGCAGTGGGAGGAGCTGCTGGGCTGCCCGCCGGGCAGTGCTCAGGGCGGTTACAGTGGCGAGTGCCGTCTCTCCTCCACACAGGCCTGCAAGTCCCTTCCTAAGYGAAAAGCAGCCTGTGGGGTGATATTTTGAGAGCATGGCCTGTGCGTTTCCTGGTGCTCTTTCATGGAAGGATGTATGGATCACGCGTATGYGCCAAGGATCACAYATRATGACCCACCYCTGAGTCGTGCACAGCGAYTCTGCCTTTCWGATAGAAGTGGAGATCAAGGGAAGYGTGCCTCTCTCTCCACGGGAGACACGGACCTTGGATACGTATTTTAATCCAGGTGTTTTACACAATTACAGCATCACTCTTTTGTGTTCTCACTGTCTCAAGCTTAGCCACCTGGAAGTGCAGACCATGAAGTTCTAAGGAAAAACAAACCACAAACAGAGAAAGATGGCTACCTAGGGAGAAGAGTGTCAAGATGGGCAAGTGACCGGCACACCCAGGGCAGCAGCCCCTGACCTCCCGGGGCCACCCAAGGGGAGGGCGGGAAGTTCTTCAGATGCTTCTGTTCAGACAAGTCCCACCGAGCCAGTCCCTGGGCCAGGCACTTAGATTCCCCCCACTCTGGACTTGTGACAGGCACCCCCGAAGTTTTATTTAAGGAGTCCCTCCCCAAGGGTGGTATAATAACAACAACCCTCAAAATAACCAGGTGGGCCTGAACCACTGTCAGTGAGGCTGGGAAACGGACACCCAGCACTGCCACGGGACAGAAAAGGGGCGCAGCCACCTGGAAACAGCTTGGTGGCTCCTCAAGGCTGACAGAAAGAGGGCGTGATCCGGGGTGCCACTCCAGGGCGCACGTCCTGAAGTTGCAAAAGCTGTGGCTGGAGAGGCATCTGTACCTGTTCACAGCAGCTCTACTCCCAAGGGCCGACGCGGGAGCGACCCAAGTGTGCCCGCAGATGAATGCACARGCAGAAGTGGCTTCAGAGACACTAAGTGAAGTAGGCCAGGCAGACAACAACCCTGCAGAGCCACTGACGGTGGCATCCAGAACAGGGCCCCAGGCTGAGGTAGTGTGGCAGCCAGCAGGGACAGGGAGGAGGAAGACCGGGGTTCAGTCGAATGGGTGTGAACAGTGACRACGCCTAGTGCCGTGAGTCACCTTCACGCGGCTCAGGTGATGAGCCCTGGCTTCGCCACGACTTAAACACAGTTCCTTCCCACCCTTGCTCTACTGCCTCTCRGCTCTAACTTCTGCGCGCAGAGCTCCAGCTCTCTGGGGCCCACCTTTGTCTTTGATGCATGACTGTCACTCCCACTGGCTGGTCTGAGAAGGTGCCATGYGGTGGCCTAGTGGGGACCACAGAGTGATGGCCTGCCTTCCACCTTGGCTTTGCCATGGGCAGCATCACTGTGGGCTGTTTTTCCACAGAAGCAGGGATGACGGCTCCACCCAAGGTCACCGTGAGAAGCASATGAGACCACACACAGCACGTGAAGCACTGGCCAAGCCGGCCCCTGCCAGCGCCCTGCCTGCCTCTGCTGTCCTCTGTGGTGCCCCTTCACTGCACAGTAGATTCYAGGGGCTTCTCTTTCTCTTCTGGGAGCCTCAGTGGGGGCACTGCTTCCCTCCAGGGGGAGGGAGAGAGGACCAGGAAGCACCACCCTGCAGTCAGCAATAGGCAGAGCAGAAGACAGAGGCACAGAAATCAAGAAACACACACTCCTGCTGCTTGGCAGTGGGTGGCCCAGGGMGAGGGACACAGGATGCTGGCCGGGGAGACTGTCCATGGGGTRAAGGATGTGGGAGTCCACGCAGATGGCACTAGGGCAACAGTGGGGTGATCAGGGAGCCGTAAAGACACTGTTCAGGGGCTGGGGATGTGGCTCAAGTGGTAGCGCACTCGCCTGGCATGTGTGCGGCCTGGGTTCGATCCTCAGCACCACATACCAAAAAAGATGTTGTGTCTGCTGAAAGACTGAAAAATAAATATTAAAATTCTCTCTCTCTCTCTCTCAAAAAAAAAAAAAAAAAAAAAAAGACTTTGTTCAGCCCTGGGACGGACATGAGTGCCCCTGGAGGCCTGTGGTGTGACTTCATAAGCTGTGATGTCCTTTTCTATTACAACAGTTCATCCATTGGTTCTTGAAAAAATATATAAATGAGGGCTCCTTTGTGAAATGTGACTGCAGCAATGGTGGATGTCACAGGACGCTGGCCAGCACCATGGTGGCATTAGGGTGCTCTCCACTGCACCCAATTCCTAAGAAAGTACGGTAGACTCCAGGACRGATCTTGGACCTAGTGCCCAGCTCTCAGCACCAGGTCACACCTTCACAAGAGTGCTGGGCTCACAGTGGCCATCATGGGCGCATGCTGACTGGTCTGCTGGAGGAAGAAGCAAGGCCGTKACCACGCCAGGTCAGGATCTCACTGCTGCTGATGGCAGCTACACAACTGGCCATGCCGAGTTGCACACACTGGCGAGGGACAAACTAAACACTGAAGGACAGCCATCATCCCAGCAATGCCCTTGGCATCTCAAACAGCAAGCTTGACACTGGCTGTCCCAAGGCGACTGGGGGGATGACTGTGTGTGGACTCCGGCTTTGCTGGCAGAGCAGCAGGAGCCTGGCCATGCCAGTGCCCACTCTCCGTGACCATCATTTGTGTTCCACATCTGGGGATGGAAGGAAGAGGCTGGGTCCATGGCRTCTACCTGGCTGACAGCCGAGGAGTGACCGTTGGGTAACAGAGGCTGAAGCAAAGGTCCCRTCTTCTGATGCCAAGTACGCTCACACTGCCCCTTTGATACTTAAGAACCGAGGTGATCTAATCACCAGGAATAAAAAGGAGACCCACAGAGGTCCCTCACCCTTCTACTGCTGCCATGTCAGTGGGTGTCAGAAACTCGAAGCCCAGTCAGAGACACCCACACGCCTCTCCCATTCACAACAGCCTCCAACAGAACAGCCTGGGAAGCACTCTAACACAAGAGTGAAAGACCTCCACCGGAAACTACCAACACCAAGGACAGAAACCGAGAGGATCTTAGGAGATGGGAAGGCCTCCCGTATTCCTGGATAGGGAAGATTCAATATTGTCCAAATGGCCATACTACCAAAGACACTCTACAGATTGAATGCACTTCTGGTTAAAACTCCAATGATGTTCTTTATAGAAATGCAAAAAGCAGTCATGGAATTCACTTGTAAAAATCTAAGGTTCAGAATACCCCAGCAACCCTTAGCAGGAAGAGAGAGCAGGAGGCAGCACAGTACAGACCCTAAGTCATACCACAGAGCTGCAGTGACAGAAGGGGCATGGTACTGGYGCCCAAGCAGCCCCGAAGACCAGCGGGACCCCACAGAGGACAGAGACAGACCCACATGAATACAGGTGTCTCACACTAGACAAAGGTGCCATAAACACACATTGGAGAAAGGACAGCCTCTTCAACAAATGGTGCTGGGAAAACTAGAAATCCATATGTAACAAAATGAAATTAGACCCCATCTCTCACCCTGCACACAACTCAAAGTGGATCAGAGACCTAGGCATTAGACCAGACCCTGTGCCTATGAGAAGAAAGAGTAGGCCCCACTCTCCATCATGTAAGACTCCTAAAATGCAAGAAGTTAAATCAATGWATGGGATGATATCAAACTAAAAAGCTTCTTCACAGCCAAGGAAACAATCAAGARTGAGAAAAGAGAAGCTACAGAATGGGAGAATATCTTTACCACAGCATTAATCTACAGGACATATAAAGAACTCAAAAACTTAACACCAAAAAACCCCCAAAATAATAACCCAATCAATAAATAAGCAAAGGAATTGAACAAGCTCTTTATAGAAGGAGAAATACAGTTAACAAATATGTGAAAAAATGTTCAACATCTCTAACAATTGGAGAAATGCAAATCAAAACCACTCTAAGATTCCACCTCACTCCAGTCAGAATGGCAATTATCAAGGATACAACAACAATAAATGCTGGTGAGGMTGTGGGGAAAAGGCTATACTTATACATTGCTGGTGGGACTGCAGATTGGTACAACTACCACGGAAAGCAGTATGGAGATTCCTCAGAAAACTTAGAATGGAACCACCTTTTGACCTAGTTATCTCACTCCTCAGTTTATACTCAAAGGACTTAAAATCAGCAAACTACAGTGACACAGCCACATCAATGTTTATAGYAGCTCAATTCAAATAGCTAAGCTATGGAACCAACCTAGGTGTCCTTCTACAGAAGAATGGATAAAGAAATTGTGATATATATACAGAACAGAATATTACTCAGCAGCTATAAAGAAGAATGACTTCATGACATTYGCTGGTAAATGGATGG